GATACATGATTAGTTGCACCAGAATCTAACCACCAGGTATTATTAGGCACTTCAATAAGATTTGATTCAAAACATAGTGAAACATAAAGTATACCTTTCTATTCAAACCAAATCTTCCTTTTAGGATAGTCCTTCTTGAAGTGACCATTCTTCCTACAGAAGTAGCACTTTAATTCCTTACGGATTTGGCCCTCATTAACCCCTCCATTAACCTACATTTAGGGCATCTGGTCCTTTTCTGGCCTTTCTTCCCTGATTTGTTAGTTGCGCTACTGCTCCAATATAAAGATGTTGAGATTCGAGGAGTGTTCCTTCAATTTTCCCTCTTAATCTAACCTTCCTCTTGTAATCAACTGATTTCCTGAATGTTCCATTTTTCCTTAAGGGTGTTGTAATTCACCTGGAACTGACCAAACTCAAAAGGAAGTGAGTTAATAATAAATTGAACTAAGAAGGATTCACTCACATCCATTCCCATTGATTTCAGTTTGGCTACCAAATTCTGCATGCCAATCACATGATCATGAATGGATTGTGACCAATCAAACTTCTTGGTCATTAGCTCACTCATCAAGGATCCTATGATGGACCTGTCAGCTATGTCCGATTGGGAGTATTTCTTAATTTTCAGCATGTACTCTCTAGCATTGTCTGTTCTGGGCATTGATGGCTTAACATTTTCGGCCATTGTCCTAATTTTTCAGCACATGTACTTCTTCCTCACATTGGGTTTTTGTTCTGGGCATTGGATGGCTTAACATTTCAGCCCATTGTCATCCTCATTAAGTCAAGCTTAGCCTGTTAAACTCCGGAAGACTTGCCTAGCTTCAGTGCTGGTCCTCTTAATGGCACGTTGGGCTTCTTGTTTAGAGACTGAATGCTAGATCCCAAGTCCAGAAACTCCTCAACTAATAAGTGGATTGTTTCGGACCAATCAACATAGTTTTCAATCCATTGAACTTAAATCAACCGCAGTGCCCATAGCAAAACATGTTAAGGAAGCCTCTGCAACATCTAACGATTATTACTCATACGTTTCAATGTTAATCAATAATGATGCCAAGAAGAAAAATACTTTAACAGACTTTCATTGATGTGGAGCAACTTGCGAACCTTTATGCAAGTCAGAGAGAAGCACGCATGTGCTTCACTACAGCACGCCTCGTGCTTCTCTCTGGAAGTCAGGGCATGCCCGTGCTACATTACAGCATTCCCCGTGCTTCTCTCTAGAAGTCCATAGCACGCTCGTGCTTATTGTAGCACACCTGTGCTCCTTTCTGGAATCCAGTTATGTTTTTTGTTTTATTCCTTTCAACTATTCAATAGTGCTCCATACAATATGCATGTTATATTTGGATATACATTCATATTAATTAGTACAATGATAAGTCTCTTTAGTGCCATTGATTATAATTATAAGATAAATGGTCTAAGTCCTTTGGGGTAACTCTATACAATTAAATCAACGATACCTCAATTATTTCCAATTTTAACTTTCGTGTCATAATACAGCATCACACAAAATATGAACAAGATTTGAAAACTGCATAATCCAATGTCTAAAACAATCCAGAACAAGGCCACTTTGGTGACTAACAAAGTTTTCCATTCATTATAAATTTGATTTATGCAAAACTTTAAAACTAGCAATAACCCAATAATATGTCATAAAACCAATTCTCCTATAATAGCCAATAAAATAATTTATAAAGCCCATCAAAGAACACACCACACACAATTTCTATAAATTTTTGGCCTTCACTTAATACCAAAAGAAAATCAACTTCATAATAACAAAGTTAATTTTTCGATCTAAATTAAGCCAACAAAATACACTATCAAAAAAATCTAGAACAAGTAACAGCTCTGATACACATGTTTAATAATTCTTTGAATATAGGCCCAGATCTAATTGTTCATCAGAATTTTGTTTTGATAAGAATATACATAATCGGAAGCGTAATCTTGATCCATAACAGCAGATCTAGATTTATGGGTTACCACTCGTGAAGCAATATCGATTCTTGTTCGTAACAACAGATCTACGTTTCTATCCTCTGGGCCTTTTATCCGTAAAGTTTCTTCTCAATGGTCAAAGAATAATCAACAGCTACGGGAGTTTCTTTTATGAGCTCTCTGCAAACAAGCTATCAACCGTATGTGTTTGAGGTAGCCGTCACACTCTCTATTGTTTCTTTTCGTGTTCCACCCTAAAGCTGAGTCGATTCCTTTTTTCTTTTATTAAAGGTAAGGAAGGGTAAATAAAACTCTAACTAGCTCTTTATCCATTAAGCCCAATAACATTATCTTGGACTACTTTAATTAGAACTAAACCCTTAATCACATGGGCCACATATAAGATTAATTAATAATCTAACCAGTAAAATTACAAGCAGGAATTGTGCCTCATTCTTAAAGGGAAGAATTAAAACTTTGGTATTGAGAAATCTAGAGCTCAGTGGGAGGTGGCTTTTTAGGGCAGCCGCAATACCTCTTTCTGCCGATTTAGAACCAGTTAGCGTAAGGAGATGAGTAAATTATTATATTGTGAAGTTGTATTATTTATTGATGTCATTTCAGTTGTGGTGGAGTTGATCAATCGTGTTTTCAAACAAGCTATCACCGTATGTGTTTGAGGTAGCCGTCACACTCTCTATTTTGTTTTCTTTTCTGTGTTCACCCTAAGCTGTCGATTCCTTTTTCTTTTATAAGGTAGAGGAAGGGTATTAAAACTCTAACTAGCTCTTATCCATTAAGCCCAATAACCATTATCTTGGACTACTTTAATTAGAACTAACCCTTTAATCACATGGGCCACATATAGATTATTAAATAATCTAACATAAATTACAGCAGGAATTGTGCCTCATTCTTAAAAGGGAAGAATTAATTTGGTATGAGAAATCTAGAGCTCAGTGGATTCTTTTTAGGGACCGCAATACCTCTTTCTTCCATTTATAAACCATTAGCGTAGAAGGAGAAATATAATTGAAGGATTGTTTAATGAGCATCAGGTTTGGGTGGAGGATCAAGTCGTGTTTAAAGAAATGGCCATTAACTTTTACTCTAAGAATAGTGATTATGTTCCAATTTATCCTATAAGGGGCCAGTTTCCTTTAATTCCTGTAGATATGCAACTTTCTCTCTCAAAGTCGCTGGAGATATAGAGGAAGTTCAGTCTGCTCTTTTTCAGATGAAACCTTGGAAAGCACCTAGTCTTGACGGACTTCACGCTGATTTTTATTAACACTACTGGAAGGAGGTGGATAAATCTATTTTTTGAGCAGTCGAGAAAGTTTTTGCTGGGGATAATTTACCTCCTCTGAATGAAACTCAAATTGTGTTTATTCCAAAGGTAGTTAACCCCACTTTCATGTCTCATTTTCGGCCCATTAGTTTGTATAATGTGTCCTAAAAGATTATCACAAAAGTCCTAGCTGAGGCTTAAGGAAGTCCTAGCTGAGGCTTAAGGAGATCCTACCTTCCGTTGTGAGCGCCGATTAGACCAGTTTCGTTTTAGGGAGACACATCATGAATAATATTATTATTGCACATGAGGTTATTTATAAAATGAGAAGCAAGACCGGGAAGACTGGTTTTATGGTGATTAAGGTGCATTTGGAGAAGGCTTATTATAGAGTTCGGTGGGATTTTTTAAAGGATACATTGACTGATTTAGGTCTTCCGAACCCTTTTGTGCAGTTGGTAATGAACTGTGTTAGCACAAGCTCTATGAAGATTTTATGCAATGGTATCTCTTCTGGCTCTTTTAAACCTTCTCCGGTCTTGCGGCAAGGGAACCCCTTTAGCCCATATCTTTTCATTCTTTGCATGGAATGCCTTTCTCAAGCTATTAAGCTGTGATTGCTAACAATTGGAAGCATATTTCTGTTTCGAGAGGCGAGCCTCTGCTTTCACATCTCTTTTTTACAGATGATTTGGTGCGTCTTGCAAAGGCTTCGGTGGAGCAAGTGCATGTCATTCGATTCGTGTTAGGGGAATTCTACCTTATCTCAGGGCAGAAGGTGAATGAAGCTAAAACGCAAGTTTATTTCACTGAGAATATGACACTAGCGAGACGTTTTTAGTTGAGTACTAGCTTGGGTTTCAATGAAACAAGAAAGGTAGAATTAATTTGTGTACATTCTAAATTTATGAAATATTTTTTTATTTTAGATTCGTTTGAAATATGATTATGTGAATTTTAGAATTTTAAATAATACTTTTAAAGCAATGCAAATTACAAAACATGGATCCTATATTTGATATCTTATAATTTAAATTAAATTAAATAATTAAAACAAACATGATATAAAAAAACTATAATGAAAGTAAATATAGAGCAGAAAGTTCCAAATAATGATTCTTAATAATAAAACCTTTAATATTGAAAAGGAAAACCTGTAGAAATTTCTTATGGGTAGGTTGCCTTTTCAATCATTCAACTATTGATTTTGATGCTATTAATATAATCACTCAAGATTTTGATGCATTAAAATTATAAATAAAAAAAATATTAATTGTTTAAAAATTATTAAGAAGAATAATGTCTAGTCAAATGGCAAATCAACACATTAAATCTCTAATCTTGTGTTATGTCAACTTCCGACGTTCTATTTTTATAGATAGAGACATGATAACTAGAGAAACTTATTATCCGAACCAATTATTATATTGCATTTTCTTAAAAGAGCAACACCACCATTGAGGCCTAAGCTGTCTATTGCATAACATCTTTTTCGTTTTACTCCTTCAATACGGGCTCTATTTATTTTATTTTAGTTTCTATCAAAAATATAAAAAAGGCCGATACATATAAGCTAGGTCCTATAAGACTCGAACTGTACAGGTCCAAGATAAACAACTTAGAATGATCGGTGGGCCTAGACCCCAGGATTGGGAGAATGTCACTTATAACAAAACTAGTTTGATCATTAGCTAAACCTTATTCAACTTTGCTTTAAAGGCTCCCCTCAAATCTCCTCCTCCTTGCATCCATATAATAAAATTATCTTACAATGATCCCAGTCCAATGTAATTGCTAGCAATCTCCAGCAAATTTCTGTTTTTTCGCTTTATCCAAACATGAGTTACAGTGAAAGTTGTATTTTCCAAATCATTTTAAGCTGCCTATTGATAGTCCTGCAATAATTTGCAGCAAGAACAAAAAGCATCACATAATTTATAAGTCGACTAATTCTTTAGAGAGTTAAAATTATACCACAAAATGTCCGTTGGGCCAGTTGAACATGTAGCAATTAGTAAACCCCAGGCTTTAGCAGCATCCAATTCATTTTTTAGTTTTACACCAAAAGTTCAGCAACATAGCCAAGAACAAAGCAGTTGGGCCTATCTTGTTCTAGGCAGAAAAGACTATTAATCAATCTCCGCTTGCACAGCCCCTGCAACCGCAATGGACACACTCTATCACCTTCTCTTCCCTCAGGTTCTTAGGCACTCGGCATACACATGTCGTTGCAAAGTTGTGATCACGTGGCTGCATGCATCTTAAGCAGCATAGACGCTCATAACCTGGCTGTATTTCAAACCCCAACACAAAAATTCAGGTAATAATCATATGATATCAGATCTCACAATTTTTATTAAACCACTAAGAAAAAATGGGTCTGGTTTTTTTTGTTAAAGATATTGTTTTCATTCAACAAGAGATAACTAAAAATCGCCCAATATGAATTCCCATGCACAAGGAAAACGAAGTACTACATATTCTAGAATTGCAGCTTCAAATGACAAAGTTGTAAGACTAACCTTCTTCCACTTCGCAATAAGATTGCGGTCCGCATAGCCTTGATCCAAACAGAATTCATACAATTCTTTAGATATTTCCTTTCTTCGATGATAAAGGTCAAATATGTAGCGGCTCTTTTGATGTGCTATCTTAAAAATGGGCCACAAAGCCTCACATTTTCTCTTACCATCATGTGGGTCATTCTCAGCTGCCCAAACAATTCAGAATGTACCATTGTCAGGTTTACAAAGCACAGCAAATATCAAGGATAACATGTTTACCTAGGAGAATACTAGCCACGGTTGCTTTTACCACTCTTTCAACACTCCATTTAATTGGTCCACCTTATCTCACAGTTTAATAGACAACCTATAACCTATTATAACTAATTACCAACTCTTTTAGATAAAAACAAATACCTAGGCTAATTAACGCAGGGGAAGAATATAGGGCAATTAACTCTCAACAATTAGGGCTAGAATGGGATGACTGTGGTTGGAACAAGATTAGTTTTAAAGAAAACCTTAGAATTAAAATTCTGAATTGAAATAAAATATCATAGAATAGGATGAGGCAAATTAACTCTCAACAATTAGGCTAGAATGGGATGATTTTGGTTGGAACAAAATAACATATTGGTTTCAAAGAAACCCTTAGAATTAAAATTCTGAATTCATAGATAAAAAACAATCCCTAAAACTAATAAAGAAACCCTTAGAATAAAATTCTGAATTAATAGATAAAAAACAATCCCCTAAAACTAAATTGGTTGCTGTCCTTATTTATATGTAGTTTAGGAATATTAGTTAGGACAAATCCTAATTCTATAGTGAAAAGTATTCCTAATTAGCTAATACTCCTAGATTGAATAGTATTCCTATTTAGCTAAATCCTAAATAAGGAAGGAAACTGAAAATTATTGCCCGATTAATTAACATTCTTTAATTTCATTAAGAATCCTAAATAAAGAAGGAAACTAAAAGAAAACTTCTTAATTAGTCTTGGATGCTCTTGCATCAATCTTCCTTTGTTTTTCCACCTTCAATGGTCCAATCTTTTTGTTCTTCTATTTTAGGGGTAATAAGAACCTGCTGAATGACGGTATTTCCTCCTTGGGTAGAAACAAGGTCAATTTCTCGCTCTTCTTCATCATCATACTCATCATAGATAGATTGGTTCACAAAAGGTCCTTGTTGCTACCTTCACTTGTTTTGATCAATCAAAATACGAAAACTTCTTTCTTTTCTCCTTCACTCTCCTTAGGGTCATCAACATCCAACAATGTTGGTTTATTTCCCCAAAAATTTAAGATAATCTGCTGCATGTTAACTCCAGAAGATCAGCTAGATCAGCTACTTCAATCTTCATCCCTTCAACATTCAAATCAAGGGCATGTAGTGACAACTCTTCCAATCCACTTAGTGCTGCTCGATTTGCGGGTCCAACTTCATGAAAAGGGTTTACGTCCTTGATTTCATCAATTTCAAGATCCTCTTGAACCTTGAGTTGTTTGTGGTTGCCTTCCAGAATCTCCATTCGGGCTTCCACAGGTTCCTGACAGGTTCCTGACGCTGCAGGGCTTGTATAGCCCGGGTCAAATCCTCAATCATTCGTCATATCTCAGCCATCTCTGTTTGTTGGGACTGATTTCCTCTACTTCGATCTCTCCCTCTACCAAACATGGTTTAGAACAGAACCGGAAAAAAAAAATCCTGCAGCTGTTTAGGATCCTTTTGAGCTCTGATACCACTTAACGCAGGGGCAAATTAACTCTCAACAAATAGGCTAGAATAGGATGATTTTGGTTGGAACAAGATAACATATTGGTTTCAAAGAAACCATTAGAATTAAAACTCTAATTCATAGATAAAAAACAATCCCTAAAACTAATTGTTGCTGACCTATTTATATTAGTTAGGACAAATCCTAATTCTATACTGAAAAGTATTCCTAATTAGCTAATACTCCTAGATTGAATAGTATTCCTATTTAGCTAAATCCTATTTAGCTAAAATCCTAAATAAAGAAGGGTAACTGAAAATGATTCCCCGATTAATAACATTCTTTAATTTAATTAAGAATCCTAAATAACGAAGGAAACTAAAAGAAACTTCTTCCTATTTAGCTAAATCCTAAATAAAGAAGGGAACTGAAAATTATTTCCCGATTAATTAACATTCTTTAATTTAATTAAGAATCCTAAATAACGAAGGAAACTAAAAGAAAACTTCTTAATTAGTCTTGGGTGCTCCTGCATCACTAATATTCCGTTACAATTGAACAACAATTAATTCTAAAAAAAAATTTAACACCGCATCACTAGCACAATTTCCTAAACAACATTAATTGAACAAAGAGCTGACAATGTAGATTAATCTCTTTTTTTTTTCTGACCTTAAATCTTTATAATAAAGATTAGAACTTGATCACAATATGGAATTGCCTTAAAATTCATCATTTGGATTCAATCTGTTCTTTTATCCTTCTCATGAAATAAGATTTGCATGTCACTCTTTTATTAGTTCTTTTTTTTCTTTTTTCTTTTCTTTTTTGTTTTTCCAGTTTCAGATATAATATATTACAATAAGTTACCAGTTGTCCATTAAAACTGTGAGATGAAATGACCAAACAAATGGTGAGTGTTAAAAATGAGTATTAAAAGCGACTATGGCTAGCATTTCCCTTTGAAGTACTATTTTGAAAAACACTAACCTTCTCGCATTTTGGACTGTAGTTCACGTAGAGTAGGCTCAATCAATTCCCAGCCCTCAGGGTACTTGACACGATTTGTCTTTACCTTAGGCATTCTTTGTTTTTTTTTTTTTATCTGCCATCCAAGTGGCAGCATCAGTTAAAAGAGAAGCTCATTCCATTCAAACAAATTAGAAGAAAAGTTCCAATTACAAAATAAAACCACATACAACATCTCCCATATATTTTCCTTGCTTTAAAAATGTTAAAATAAAGAACATCAATGGAGAATCAGCATTCTGGCTCACACTTTCATCCTTTATCCTCGATCCAAGTCTCATCCAAACCCAGTTTTTGAATACTTCAATGACTCATCACTATAATTTAATACACTTGTCAAATAGTTAAAATTAATTAGTCAATGTTTTGGCACTTGTTTTATGATTAAACTTTCTATTGGGGATTGATTCCCCTGTTATAACCCCACTGTCACAAAAAGAAAAGGAAAGAAGTGATAACAAATAGTTAGGAAAATCTAAAACAAACAACATCTACATGAATAACAATCAGTTCAGCCAAAAACAAACCAAAACAGTCCAAGCTAAATAAACCTAAGGTAATACATTCAATCTGCAACTGGACTTGGATTTGATTTCTAACTGATGTTAGCAATGTATAAATTGACAGCACTTAACCCACTAGATGGATTACTATCAACTAAAAATTGCAGTGGTAACAAATAGCGATTCTCCTGTTTGCAAAACTTAATCAAAATTGGAAGGATCGATCGAGGGGATTATTAGTCACTATGAGTAAGATTTGAAATTTACCACTATATGTACTACTCATATATACGAAACAGTGATCATAACCTAAAAATCCTACTAACATGATGTCCTTACAATTCACAATGTCTATCTACCACAGCCTTTCTGTGTGTGGCGTAGAATCATATCTATCTAAAAACAATATACAACAATAGCCAACCAGCCTAACTTAAATCAAACTACAAAATTACACAGTGCTAAGAAATTTATATTAGACCCAAATTTTTTTCTTAAAAAAGGTCAGCTGTATGAAGAAATCCACACTAATCAAACTGATTTAATTAAATTAAGCTAAAAAGAGACGCACAAAAAGAAGTAAAAAAGAAAGAAAACTCGCTTAAATACTACAGTGGTTTTAACAGTATACCTAATCGAGCAAGAGCTGCCTAATCAAATGAACCCAAAGAGACAGAGACGCTAAAGAGACGAAAGCCCTAATTCGACACCCTCAGGCCCCAGACAGGAAGAAATTCGACACGGAGAAAGCTTGAAGAACAACCTAATATAATAACAAAAAGTACCTTAAACTGTTGGCAGGAGGATGTAGCAGACAATAAGGTAGAACACTCTTTTTCCAAAATCATATTTTAAAAAAGGAAGTCGTGTTACAGGAGAACAACAAATTAGATTGCATAGAGAACAAAATTCCAAATTTGGGCATTCCAGGTGAAGAAAATCAAACAAACAAAACAACAATTAAAGATGTAATGGTATTTGATTCACACCAAGAAATTATAAAAGCATAAGATACAGTGAACTGAAGAGGAAGAAAAGAATAGCCAATAAGAAGCATCAGAACTAAAATTTGCACCTTATTCCAACGGTAAGCTTTTGGCTTGTTGATTTGAGATTTTCTGTTGAAATGGACGCAACTCCGTCAGGTACTGTCGGCGATGGCTCGCTTAGGTGAATAGAGAAGCGATTGAAAAGGCAGTGGAAAAAGATGGAAATAATGATTATGGAACGCTTTAGGGTTATAGAGTAAGAGGGAGGGTTAACACAAACCGTAGAGGAGAAGATGCATACAGGAAGGCATAAGGCGTCTTAAAGTACTTGAATTTAACCAATTTTGCTTTTTAGTTTGAATTTTTATTTATCACTACTGATTTTTATAGAAAAATTATGATTTTATCATTGAATTTTATATAAAATATTATGATTTCGCCTCTGTATTTTCAGTATTTTCAGAAAGACGTAATTTTGTCTCTATCTTTTGCTTCTTTTATATCTTTCTATCAATTTTTCTATTTTTCCCATTAAATATAAGAATAGATTAGAATTCTAATAAAACATAAGAACAAATTAATTAAAATTTTGACAAAATAGTAATTTATCAATAAAAATATAAAAAAATTGACAGAAGAATATAACAATACAACGAAAATAAAATATAAGAAGAAGACTACACATTTCAAAAAATGCAGTGATAATGTTGTATATTACGGAAAAAATAGAGATAAAAATCAAAATTTTTTCTTTTTTTTTATAAAAAGGTAAACCCCGTGTATTCATACATAATAAAGAGGTAAAATCAAGAAAATAAAATTTGGGCTTCAATTCAAATGTTGCATTTTGCATTTGTTAGTTTAACCCAAGCTCACTTACGGAGCTTAAAATCTTAACTTTAATTTCCTCTTAATGGTACAATTGTAATATTCTTTCTTTTTTTTAAAAAATTAATCCATACTCAATTATATATGGAGTTCAAAAATCCTAACCTTATGGCATAATTACAACAGGTTTTGTTAGTTTAATACAAGATTAATTGTGGAGTTTAAAGTTCTAATTTTAATTTGCTTTTATGATGTAATTATAATATATCGATAAATTCAAAGTGTTTTAATTTTTTTAGTACATCATGTTGCCCTAATTTAGGGTTAGAACACTAATTTTCTTTTAGTACATCAAGGTGGCCTAATTTACTGTTCGAATACTAATTTTTGGATGCCTTAAACAGATAGTTCAATTTAGTGATGCCACTTGAATGGTTAAATAATTATGAGAAATTTCAACAGCCATTTCAGACTATCAATCAACTCTAGGTATTTCTGTAGTTTAGGTAAAGATTGAATTACAAAATCGATAAAGACAACTACATGAAGTGAATGAATAGATAAAAAGTGAATTAATAAATATAGCAAACAGTGAGGAAAAAATCAAATATTCTGAAGAAGACCGTTTTAGGGTCAGATCTGTGTTAAACAACAATAACAATTACTACTATTTAATTCTAAATTAGTTGGAGTCAGCTATATTTATCGTTTATTTCTATTCCACTTTGATCATAATTAAACCTACATTAATGTTATTTAAAAAAAAAAAAAAAGTCGAGGAGTGTCAGGTAATAATAAATTTTTCTGTTTTGATGTCTGAACAATATTAATAATGTCTGAGCTTTTAAAAAGATGCAATTAGGTATTCGTTGCTTACATAGAATGCCGAAATTCTGATCATAATGAAATGGACTCCATTTTACACTGCTGATAGTTGACAAGCGCGTAGATAACATTAAAGTAGAAGAGGAAGTTTGTTTTTTCTTTCTTCCAATTTGATGGGTTTTGGAAGTAGCGGAGGAAGATGGAAGAGGAGGGAGGAGGAGATAGGCAGAGTATGATGTGGTGTATAATGTGTTTCTATCTCTCACGTGTTATTATATTTTTGCCAGGAAAAAGAATTTTGAGTTGCATTTGCTTCATTTGCCCGAGATAAGTACTTATTAAATAACAAAAAAATGTAAATAGAGGTATCTTATAGGACCCGACAAAATATAAAGAGCTACAATATTTTTTTAGCAAAGTATAGGATTCAAAATATGCATTTGATGAATTCTACATCAATCATTTGAAAGTTTCCAAGTCAGGGCTTTTGAAAGAATTTCCTTAATTTACAAGCATTAATATAGTAACAAGAGAGAAAACAAAAGAGAAGATAGAGAGAAAGCATTATGGCTCAAATGAATGGGAAAATATGAAATTTCCTTGGCAAATCTTTTATGGACTCAAGTGTGTTACTAATGTAGTATTATCTCTCTCCATATCAACTGCCAGTGGTGTAAAAATGGTGCCATTTTAGAATTTCGACGTGTAAAAGGAGCATCTAATTGCTTTTTTTTTTTTTTTTTTTTTTGTGTTACTAATGTAGTATTTATCTCTCTCCATATCAATCTGCCAGTGGTGTAAAAATGGTGCCCATTTTAGAATTTCGACGTGTAAAGAAGCATCCTATTGCTTTTTTTTTTTTTTTTTTTTTTAAGTTCTTCACACTCAATTGATAGTAATGTTTTTTTTTTTTTTTTTTTTTTTAAGTTCTCACACTCAATTGATAGTATGTTTCATTTAAATACCAAAATAAAAAATTTATAAAGTTGAGACACTTTTTGTCATTTATTCTACTAATAATAATAATAATAATTATCATTCACTTTCAAAATAATAATAATAATAATAATAATAATAATAATAATAATAATAATAATTGTCATTCATGAAAAGGATGGGAAGTAGTCTTATTTAATAGTTTATACAACTCCTAATTCAAATAAAATCATTAACAACAAACCAAATACATGATTTAATCCTTAACTTTAAAAAAAAAAAAAAAAAATTGTGGCCATTTAAACTTAAATGACCTTGTAGCCTTCTCAACTTCACATTTTGATCTTATAACGCCCTTAAATTTCTTTTTTTTTTTATAACAATTCTACACCTCATATTGAAAATGAATCAGTTTTAGAAAGTTACAAGTATAGAAAAGTGAAATTTAAGAACTACAAGATCAAAAAAAGAAATTCAAGAAACTACAAGGTTATTTTCAAAGTTGCAGAGAGCCATAAAATATTGTTGTGAAACTTCAAGAGTTAAATTATATAATTAGCTACTAAAATGTAAAGCGAATTTTTCCATGCATACGGTTATGTACAGTGAAATTCACAATTCCCCTTGCGGGGATTATAGCAACCGGGCACGCCATGATAAGACAAAATTAGATGATCGAAGCCTCAAAGCTCATAAAGAAAGGTCTATTCGGCAAAGGGGCTGTTCACGGGACCGCCCCGGAACCGATTAGAATCGAAACCAGACCGCAACCAGCAGTTTAAGAGCCGGTTCAGGTGCTTCAATGAACCCGCCATGCCTAATCTTAATATTCAGAAAATAAGCACAACTTTGCATTGATTTACAAGCCCTGCAGCTTTGAACAATTCTTGCCTTCACGACCATGAAAATGCCTGATCATAGAAATACAGAACTGATTACTTCTCGTAATTAAATGAATAAGCTGTAATTTTTCATCTTGCCAAGAATTGTTTGACATTTACACTACTTACGAATTTACAATATTATTTCGGCCATCAGCTAACCAAGAAAATCCAAAAGAATGCTGAGCCTCCATTCTGCTGTTAAGGGCTAAAGTCGCTCTTTGACCACTGTTCTATCGAGATTTTGTGAGCTCCAAACCAGCACTAACGTGTCCTTATGCACTGGCCTTCTGTGAGCCTCTTGGAAGTAAACATTTGACGAGGATCTTTGAAACTTACATCTCGCTATCTTCACATTACTCAGGAAGTATCTATCAGCAAACTGATACAAATTCAAGAGTCAAAAAATTAAGGGAATTGGAAGACTAAGGGATCCAAATCAGAGGGGAAAAAAAAAGAAAGCCTGTAACAGATATCATTGCCATTGTTGTGATTACTTTGTATGACATCTTCTGGTTCTTCTCCTAATCCTAGTAAAGAGAACCCTTCAGTTTTTTTTTTTTTTTCTTTTTTATGTCAAACATAAGGCCAAAAGATTGTCCTGATCTCATTGTAATTATTTACTATTTGAACAAAGGAAATATGTAAAGTTAGAGGACTAGTGTGCAAAAGTAAAAAGTTTGTCCATGGATTGGGATAACTATTCTTAAATCTTTAAGTAGCTGTAACTGAAAATTATTTTACAAAGTACACCCAGAATGCCCACTTACATTTGGAATGTCGAAATCACCTTCACTTGCATCACATAAATCTAAAGATATTTGTCGAAGCATTGGCATCTGAAGTCATTTTAAAGAGAGGATGAGTCGACAGTTATTTGCGAGCTAATTATGATTGGAAGAATAGCATAAGAAAGCAGTGGTCTATTACCTTTGAAGCAGCATCAAGAATGAAGCTGCGATGTATACCTTGGCCCTGTACAGTGTTGGTAAGAAATCTCATTCAGCTATGTAAATACAGTCAGTATTTAGCATAGTGTAACAGTGATATATTGATAGTGGAGGGTGCTAAATAAGGAAGAGGTAGACCTAAAACCGCATTGAGGTTGAGATGTCTCAAAAGATCTACTATTTCTTGACATTAGTGTATACTTTTTTTTCTCAAAATAATATTATTGTATGCTTAGTTGTGAACAAAGCAGAATAGAAACAAAAAATTTATATAGCCAACCCTAACTAGTTTGGAATTAAGTCTTAGTTGTTGTTTAACATAGATCTGACCCTAAAACATTCATTGCTTCTTCAAATTCTGATCCAACAGTACAGCACCTATCTATGACAGACCACAATTTCTGTAAGCAAGTGATCATTGTGTAGAAATGACAATGTAATTGGAACAGAACAAGCAGCTGTATGATAATCTGATATTAGTTAAATTAGATTTCAATGTTGGAGACAGGGACAAAGAAACTTGCTAATAGATGGCTTACATTATGACGCAGCAAGATATGTTCGAGCGCTCTACAGTTGAATAAAGAAGAAACCCCAGTTGCTGTTACGTCTCCACAGTCCTAAATAGGAAAAGAAAAGAATAAAGAACAGAACTAGAAACATTAATGACCTCCTAAAAGGTCAAATATTTGTTCAGGTCATTATGAGTCGTTGAAACCAAAATACCACATAAGCTATAATCACCAAAAAAATTTGGAACAGAAAGTCAAATTATATACCTGGCTAGAAAATTACACATCTACTAAATCATTATCGTGTAAAAAAGAGGTGAGCAGAAATTGAGAAAAGAAAATTATGACAAACTCAGAGGACTGAATTTGGACAAGAGCACATGATTGCTGATCTTAGGTTCTCTCAAGCCCCTCAAAAGAAACTGATGTTTTCTTTCAACCTTTTCCATTTTCATTGTTAGTTACATGTTCCTATTAGGGGATTTCTTTTACATAGACTCTGAAGAAAAAAAAATAAGTTGGTCAAAAGAAGCCCAACCCACCATTTGCTTAATAACAATTAAGTAGAGAACTTTTTGAGTGCATGTTTTGTAGTAGGAAAAAAATGCTTGGGCCTACACGCCAACTGCAATTCAAACTCCTCGCTATCCAATAACATGTAACATTGACATAATTAAGTTATAAGCTGAGGCACAAAAAGCATGCCTGTTGAGACAAACATTACAAATGAAAGCAAGTGAAAAGCCGAAGTAACAATTCTCGCAGTTTCCATAGCATTGCTATCAAGTAGATGCACTCTTTCAGCTTGTAGTGGCATTCTATTTGTTATATTGAAAAAAATTCTCAAAAAAAAAAAAAAAAAAAAACTATTGTTCTATTGGAAAAAAATTCTCAAAAAAAAAAAAAAAAAAAAAAAAAGAAAAAAAAAAGAAAAAAAGGAAAAAAAGGAGAAAATGGATCTCGAACCAAGAACAAAGACAAACTTCAAGCTTGGAAGAAAGGTACAAGCCTGGCCATCCATGTGAAGATGATGCAAGCAGAGAAATCTAACAGACACACAACATGCTATTACCTCTTAAGTACCACTAAGAAGGATTCCATAAAGTTTTCTTAGGGAACTAAAGCGAATCTAAAAAAAAAAAAAAAAAAAAAAAAGAAAAAAAAAAGAAAAAGGAAAAAAAGGAGAAAATGGATCTGAAACCAAGAACAAAGACAAACCTCAAGCTGGAAGAAAGTCAAGCCTGGCCATCCATGTGAGATGATGCGCAGAGAATCTACAGACACACAAACATGCTAATTACCTCTTAAGTACACTAAGAGATTCATAAAGTTTTCTTAGGGGAACTAAAGAATACCAAACAGTTTGAATTATACCATGATTTGAATCACAGCTCAAAATAAAGTAAGGGAATCATAATATAATAGTTAATACATTTGATGAATAACAGAGTGTGAACATCATTTCACATTAATGACAGGCTAACCTGGACTGAGAAGCCTGCATCCTACCAATGAAAATTCAACCAAGTTTGTGCAGTTTTGAGTAAGAACCACCAAATCATTATCAGTCATCCATGGAGTTACCCTCTCCAGCCTCAATTTCCTTAGGTTTTCCATAGAGTTTTTGAAGCTTGATATAGATATATCACCAAGACAGTAGCACAGGGCCAGCACTTTCAGGTGCCTCAAGGAGACTGTAATTTTTACGATGGTGGTATCAGAGATTACCTATCAAAACCAAAATCAGTAAAGGTAATCATTTTTTTTTTTTTTTTGAAGCTAGCTTTAAATGGCATGAGGAATGAGAAATATGAATGATAACGAATTAACCTAGTATAGACAAGCAGTATCACAACAAAACATTATGGGCAATAGAGCAACATATCCTGAGAATAGATCATTATTTATAAGAAGATATGCCTCCATCCTATAAGAAATCCTTAAATTGAATTTTCTCAAATGCTTGAGATTTTTTTTTCATTGTGTACTCATTCCAGAGGAAGTATGAAAACGCTAAACGAACAACAAATAACCACAACATCAGAAATGATAACAATATACATGAAAAGGCATCCAACAAACATCTAGTGATCATTATTTCTATCAGGAAGAGAGAGAGAGAGAGAGAGAGAGAGAGAGAGAGAAAATCAATAGGATAAGCATCAACAAGGACATAATTCAAGTTGCCACACTGATTCAATAATTTGACACATTGCTGGATAAAATTATAACTTCTTGGCAGTGAACTTTATGTATAAATGGCAAGCAGATCTACAACAGGTGACACCCACATATTCCCCAACCATAATTAGCAACTAAACTTCTATTGGTTATACCTGAAAATAAAAAATTATTGACTCCAGCAGGGGACAAGTTGTAGGAAGTAATCTAACTGCACCTTCATCCAATGACCCACCCAGACCAACACTTATTGCCTTCAATGACATAATTGCAGGTCTCATAGCTTCTAAAGACAACCAAGAAAATCCCCAAGCCAGTGCAATCTCTTCCAATATGCATTTCTTGCCTAATTCAGTATAGAGTTCTGCACATAAATGTGAGGATGAAAGTTCTACCCCATGGGTGTTACTTTCTTGTTGAATCAGATTTTTACAGCCCCTTGCATTCAAACACTTCAAAGTTGGATTTCTATGGACAATGTGAGCTAAGGCAGCTCCAGAAATCTGCAAGCATACAAGTGCAATAAACATTCTGATAAGCACAAATTCACAACTTAATTTTCATTCAATAGCACAAGCCAGCAGTTGTAATTAAAAGAAGAACAAGGACACTTCACTTTAGATCTGTTTCAGCTTGTTAACTATGTCAAATACTAAGACTGTCTTTGCCAACAATTAAGCCACCTGATGAATCTGGAGGTCATCATACCAAATTCCTCAAATAGATGGCCTAATCAGTCACACCAGAAATATGCAAAGAGACAGCCACAGAATTCAGGCAAGATGAAGTTGACAACAGGAGGAGCAGAGGAACAGAAAAAGAAAAGCCGAAAAGTTATTTCCATTTTGCTATTCACAAGATAACCCATAAGCAGTTGAGATCTAAAATTGGCATTTGAAAGACTGCTACTTGTAAAGCTTATTACCACAAAGAAGAAAACCTTTAAATTGAATTTCCATATCAATGCGACTTATGAATTGACTTGGGAAAGAACATGCATTCCATGATTGAAATCATTTACACAGGAATGTTTACCGCAGGGAGGCTCCAAGCAATTTATCTGACTGGAAACAATCAGTTAGCAAATAATTTGTTGTGATTATATGAAGATTTAGGGAGAGAAGGCACCAGATTTCACAATTTCGATGACTAACCATTGTATTAGAAACATCAAGTGTCTCCAAGGAAGAACCTGAGAAACTATATAGAGCATCATCAACAAGGAGAGTGCCCCTCAAGCAAAGGCTAATCAATGTTTCGGTTTGAGAAATAAGATCAAGCAGAGATCTTTCATCAACACCTGTCAATAAATTTAATAAACACATAAAATAGCTTCTAGAGAATTTCCAGCTGTCATGGCTCCAAAATGAAAAAGAAATAACAATAATAATAAAAAAAAGGATCCCTTTCATTAAATAATAATGAGCATTATCAGCCCGAGTATTAAATCTTAAAGCGCCTTAATACTTGTATCTATGCACTTTAGTGATCAACTCATTTGATAGTAAATGTCAAATGTTCGCTCTGCCCAAGGTAAAACTTTCAAGGATTAAAAAAAAAACAACCTCCAATTCCCCAAAATTTTCTAATTCTAGCCAAGGCTTAAATATTTTTGTAGAATAATCTTGAAAAATCTGTCCAAATAGAGGTTGGGAGGGAGGATGTACTACTTACCCTTGCAGCCACCCATATGAAGTGTTTGAAGTTTAAATGCCAAGGTATCTGAACATCTCTTTTCCAAGTAAGCAGCAGGACCAAAATTTGTAATTGTAGAGCAGAGAGCTTTAATTGAATTTACCCCAAAAGAAGTATCACAAACTAAAATCGAGTGTAGTTTAATGCATCTGCATATGAGATATGATATGCCCATATCTGTTACTGAAGTGCATCCTTTAAGATTTAGGTACTGTAGAGAAACACATAACTTTGTGATATTCTGGAGATCCAAATCTGACACAGAAAATGCAGTTAAAACTTAATAAGGTGGTCAAGAAGGGGAAAAGGCAAAAAAAAAAAAAAAAAAAGACTGCATAGTCCTTCATCTGAAAGCAAAATAATTTTCCAGCAATCACATCTAATATGATGCGTATGATAGACTAGTCTAGGCATGCATTTGCCTACCCTTCTATGAAATGCCAAGCTTTCTAAATATGAAATCTATGTTCAATGAGCTCTTAGGACATCATTCATAACAGTTGACTGGCCAATCATGACTTTCGGATTGCAGAATTATCCTTTTACACCATCACAGGAAGGAACCATTTACATAGCGTCTAATTCTAACAATGAGTTATCTTAATGGTATCTGAACACCACATTTTGGCTGTGCCCTACATTTCTCACCGGAATTTTTCCATTTCTTTGTTTCAGAACTATTTAAAATAACAGATAAATATCTCACCAGAAATATCACTTCGACCCTCCAATACAAGTCTTGTGATATTTGAAAGAGATGTCCCTGAATGATAAGGTGTCATGTCCAAGACATTATTTCCAACAGTGGAGGATTTGTTTGATACTTGTGGCTTTATATCAGGACTAGTAGACACCAGTGACACTTGTGCAGGTATGAGCGGAGTAATATCAACTGTTATGTCAACTTCACTAATGAGTGGACACTTCAACATCAATTTTTGCAAAGTGGTTGTCTTAAAGTTCAACAGATATGCTGCTTTTAGTTTTCTTAAAGATGGAAATGACTTGGAGAAAAGTTCAATAGTAGATTCAAGATTTAGCCTTGGACACTTTGAAATATCCACCTCCACAACTCCTTCAAAAGAGAGAATTATCGGCAACCCATGCAAGATTCCACCAACACTTTGATCTCTGCTCAGATGCCCAAGATTGATCAAAGACTGTTTAATGCTTTTCCTCAACACAAGATCCACACAGTATGAAGATGGAAGCAAAGAGAGGAGAAGAATAACCGATGTTATTTGTGGACAACCTGAAAGGTTTACTGACTGCACAATAAGCAAATATCGATAGTCTCACTAAATCATGCCAAAGACATGATAATTAAGGAGTTGTAAAGAAATTAAGGAATCTGAAATTGCCTATAATACAGACTTGCTGATATACTGTTGAAACTAACACAGAAAATTGTTGGTCAATTTCTTCTTGCATGTCATGATGCAATGACTTTTTAACTTAAACAAGCAATAGCAGGAAAACCAAAAGAAGCCGGTGAACTAGTGGGCTACTAAACCAATGGTCAAGTCCCTGCTTCACAGTATAGGAGATCAGGATTCAAACTGGATTACCACTTCCTCTCTAAATTTTTGGGTGTACAAAAAGGAAATTTAAGCGTCCTTCCATAGAAATGCAGCAAATTACAGTGGACAAGACATATAAAAAAATATAAATAAATAAATAAATAGAGGACATTCTTAAGATTAATTTTGCTGAATAGGTCAGAATTGCAAAGTGTACGGCAGTGGAGCACTACATGAATAATTGCAATTTTGTCCTACCAGCTCATATTATCTGAGTTGTCTTTATTGAATGCTCAAGAAGAAAGCCGATACATTGAATGATGTCAGGGGCATTTAGAGATAGATAAAGGAAAACCTTAGAACATTCTGTCAACCGAACCCTGAGATGGTCCAAGTCACTATCTGCAAAGATGCCAATTGAATCCAAAGGAGGAATCTTCAACAGTCTAAAAATTGTCTCAATGCTTTCCTCAGCAAGCTCTGAAAAATAGCAGGACCTTCTTTTTCCTAAATATTACCAGGTCAATGAATATCTGAGGTTGCAGTCAATGGGGAAAATTTTAAAAATTAATGCATAACATTTCTTCATACCTGCAGCATACCATAATGGCAAAAGACTGATCCGTATCTGTTTAAAACCAAAAGTGAAAGATTTTACCAAATTAAAATTTTAAGCAACTGAAAATTTGGCAAATATATTTGTATGAAAATATAAAATGCAATTTAGTATCGCTCACTCCATCACATTTTTTGAGTCCATGTGATTAAGAGAGGCATAGACCATAAAAATGGCACACAAGGAACAAAATTTAACCTCATAAAATTCAGTAATCATTTGTTAGTATGCTAGACGAACTGTTTGTATGAGATATTATTGAAAATAAAATGACCACCAAAAGCCCAAGTCTTACCAAATTGTAAATTAGTAACCATTACTTTTTCCAATTTAATGGCTTTACTTAATCTTTTTCCCCTGTTAATGCTTTCCAAATTGTTTTACGTTTTTGTAAATTTTCGCATCAAATTAACAGAAAAACTTGTTTGAACAATATAAAATCCATGACCAGTATGGGCTCCACAAAAATTTCATAATCATTTGGCATGAAAAAGGGTGGCTCAACAGGAAAGAGTATATAGCAACCACTTAGGGGTTGTCTGTTTAAGCCAAATTATGATCGCTAAACCTATATAAAAAACTATTGAACTGAATGATTAAGAAGTGGTAAATAAAGTTGAGTGCTGAATGATTTAGATTATTTGGTAAATAAGAAATCTGATTAATCTGAATGAGTGTATCTTTATGTATTTGACATTCTAAATACTTAAGAATAATTACATTACATAAAATAAAACGAAATGCATAAATTTATTTATTATTCAATTATCAACGTTAAATAATAATATTATATTTATAACATAGTATAATTTTAAATAAACATTATTTATTTATGTATACGAATGCATGAAAAGTTCATGAAAAAGTCGTTCGGCTTACAAACAATACATCAAATTTATACTTTAAGAGGGAAATTTTGTCTTTTTATGTTAGGGGAGAGTGGTATATGGTGTCATTTCTTTAATTGTAAGAAGCAATTTTGTCTTTTCATGTTAGGAAGTATGTTGTATGGTGTCATTTTATAATTGTAGGGAGCAACTTTATCTTTCTCCTAAGTTATACAGCTTATTGAATCAGCTCTAAACATAAGTTTTTTCATTCAAACAAAATTTGGCTTACAAGTTTGGATAACAGCTTATTGGTTACAACTTAGACAAACAAGCTTATTTGATGTTGTCTAAATGAATAAGCTATCAATAAGACAAAACAAACACCCCTTTAATTATACAGTACAACATTATAAATTATCAATTACTATTTCTAGATTCCTACATACATATAAATCGTGGAATCCTTTTTGAATTAACAAAATCTCGTGCACACTTTAATAAATTACTTTTCAATTGCTTAAGAGGGTGCATAGAAATAGTCATAGTCTTTCTTAATTGCTTTCACTTCCACTAAATAGACCAAGATTGATTACATTAAAATAAATGTTTTACCCTGCTTTCAACAAATGCAAGGATATAGTAAATAACTGATTTTGCTTTTCAATTGATATAACAATGCAGCAGACACTTAGAGGTTATTTGTTTGGCTGAATACTGAATCTGAATTAACAGCTTATTGAATTGAATGATTAAGAAGTGATATTAAGAACTTAGCTGAATAATTAAGATTGTTTGGTAAATAATATATCTGAATAGTTTGAATGAGCGTATTTTTTATATATTTAACCTTTTATATTTTTACATATTATGTATTTTTTACATGATAATAAAATTGACATTATATTATATAAAATAATGTCAAACATACAAATTTAACTTACTATTCAACTATTAACATAATAAGATTGTAAATGATAAATGTTTATTATCCATATACAATATAAATTTAATTGATGAATGTTATATATTAGTTACGTAAAAGTTAAGATAGTTCATAATAACTTAAAAAACTCACTATAAAATATAAAATTAAAATACGTCATCTATAATTCACTATATAATAAAATATAAATTTAAGTTATATTCACTTTTCTTGAAGCATATGGCTCAATATAATAAAATATAAAGTTAAATTATAAATATAAAGTCCTTTTTACATATTATGATATAATTTATGATTTTAAATATTAAGTGGGGATATTTTTATCTGCTAGTCAAATAAGCTATACAGCTTACCGAATAAGCTAAGAAAAATTAGTCTTTTGAATCAACTAATTTTTTGGCTTCATATTTAGATAAGTTGCTTATTTGAAAAGAAAAAACAAACAAACTTATTTTCTTTTTATCCGAATCAATAAGTAAGCTACAATAAGCTGAAACAAACATACCCTTAGTGTGTGTCAAATTCACGGTCCAATAAAAAACCTTCTTTATTAGGCTTATTTGTTTCTCGGTCTTTGTTGAATGTGCTCCATAATAACCCAACCAAAACAAGACATATGATGTTAATAAGCATTTTCTTTTACCCTCGTGACCACCCAAAACACGGGCATTATCTCCAATAATCTTTAGTTTTAGGTCCCTGTATAAATGTTAAAAGTTTAAAACACTAATTGATACCTGTTTTAGGATGTCGTTGTAATCATCTCCGGCATTGCTCAAAGGTTCCAACTGTTTTCTGTTAGCATTGAGCCATACTAAAAGTGCATCAGAAAGATGCATCTCGCTGTAAAACACAACTAAAAGTAAGAATCCTGAAAGATATTAAGTCAAAATTTAATCGAGTAATAGAAGTGACAATCTACTCACCTGTATATTGTCAAATAAGGATGCTTTACGCAACGAAACAATAAATTATAAGGAACGTCTACAAAGAACTTACTAGACACGGCCCACATCTGCAAATTAGCCAACCCACTCTTATCAACATAGTGGCAAGATTGAGATTTGACATCATTAAAGCAAAATAGTTTCAAACATGACAAAGTGAATATAGTTCATATATTATTGAATATTGATAATCCAACTGGAGGAATTTATTCAACTCCAGCATAAGCTTGAAAGTAAAAAAAAACACACAATTAGAAATTCATTCAATTTTTCTCACTATTTTATTCAGCTACTAGTAACACAAATCTAATCTGTACATCTAGCACATTCACGGCTCATATCTTCAATTTGATCATTAAATAAACCATGCATTTCTCTTTCATTGCTGTAGACATTACATGTGTCTGTGTGTGATTTTGTTGACCTCCTTACAGGTTCTAAACCCCCCCCCCCCCCCCCTATATTATTGATATTGATAATCCAACTGGAAGGAAATTTATTCAACTCCAGCATAAGCGTTGAAATGGTAAAAAAAAAACACACAATTAGAAATTCATTCAATCTTCTCACCTACTTTATTCCAGCTACTAGTAACACAAATCAAATGCTGGCTACATTCTAGACATCACGAGCTACATATCGTCCAATTTGATCATTAAATAAACCATGCAATTTCGCTTCATTGCTGTACGACATTTACACTGCTGTCTGACCATCTGTGTGTTTTGTGACTCCTCCTTCACAGGTTTCTAAATCCCCCCCCCCCCCCCCGGGGCGTTTGCAAAAAGAAAAAGTGACCCCCCCCCCCCCCCCGGGGCGTGTTGCAAAAGAAAAAGTGAAATAATATAAGCGCCAGATGTTGATTATAGAACTAACAATTTGATTATTATAAAGTAGTAAAACATGCACAAGTACTCAGAAATATATGAAAGTTAAGCACATACAAAATTTCTTGCTAGATAGCTCGTACACAATTCTGGAACAAAATCATTTGCTGCAACATATTATCAATTCATCAATAAGAGTAGATAACATAATTACATCAAACATGAAACGCACAAGTAGCTTGAGATTGCATATGTAATCATTTCTAACAATCTGTAAATATCAGATATACTCTCACCATGCTCTAAGCCAAAGTTCCAAATATGAATCAAATCATCCAATTGTATCTCGAGCAGTCCCACTGCCTTGGATGAAGTTACGTCAGAAAACCAAGTTTTACACTTGAATAAAAGTGATTCTACTCCAAAATAAAGTGCTGCCTGGAAGTAAACTTTGAAGTCTTAGAAGAATAAAAATTATGTAAAACATTTCCAAGTTATTTGTAAAAAAATTCTCCAAAAATTAGAAAAACTAAAAGAGATAGAGAAAGAGAGAGAGAAGCAGCATTATGTAGTTCATGCAAAGGCAAATAAAACCCAATATATTCCCTTTATTGCTAAAATTTGAAAAAAAAAAAAGAAACAAAAAACTATGAATTATTTAGCACAACTAAATATTGACTGCAAACTAATTTGAGTTTATTATGAACCATTTCCCCCATTCCACCATTCTTTTTTTTTTTTTTTTTTTTTTTTTTTTTTTTCTGTCTTGTACATAAAAAAAAATTAAAAAACAAACATTTGCCAAGAGGTTTAAACATGAAATAATAGAACATATTTATTATTGGCAGATAATAAAATCAAACTTTTATAGTTGCTCAAAAATATCTAAAAAGCAAAAAGATTTTTTTTTTTTTTTTTTTTTCCTTTGTACATAAAAAAAAATTAAAAAACAAACATTTGCAAGAGGTTAAACATGAAATAATAGACATATTATTATGCAGATAATAAAATCAAACTTATATAGTTGCTCAAAATATCTAAGCAAAAAGAAAAACCAAAAAGCAGAAAGCCAATTATGCAACATGTCTGCATGTTAAGCCTATCATTATTTGAAGAAAATTCCTTTCCCAAGAGTTACAAAGTAACCACCATGGCAAAATAGGTCATAACAGCAAAACAATCTTCTATCTTTGCTGTACATGGTAGTATATCACACGAAATAGAAGCACTGTCATACTGTGCAAGCTTACCTCAAATAGAGAGAGGAAACTTTTGGACGTGACATCCACTGGGCAACCATAAACACATTTCAAGACGTTTATTAAAATTTCGATGTCCCACTGGATTGAAACGGAACTCAAGTTTGATTCACTGCCAGAGTTATAAGCAATTCAAAGAACCACCACATGCAAAGTATCTTGAACTCAAAAGGCATAAATATTAAACAAACACTATACTGTTACAAGCTATCAACAAATACTTATTCAAAGCCAGGACAGAAACAAATAAATAAAAGTGAACATATCAAAACTGCCAATTATTTTATTGTCATTCACATTAAATCCCAATGTACCTAGTTTTATCTAGTTGCCGAGAAATGTAAGAAAAAGATATCCTCACTTTTCTTCAATTCTTTCATTAGTTAGAGCTTAAATCAATAAATCCTGATTATGAATTTGGCTCACAGAGTTTAGGTTTCCCATTTCTCATTCTGCCTTTCAATCTGACATTTCCTTCACTAACAATATTATCTAACCAAAAATGCAAAGTTTCATTTAAGAATTTGCTAATTTTCTAGTTCTTATAAAACTAAAACCTCCACAGAAAATGAAAACAAAGAGAAGCAATAGTTAACGAATTCCACGATAAAACTTAAAAACAACTGCTTTTAGTATCGCTTGGAGGTTACCTAAAGCTTCCACTAAGAAGGCCATGAAAATAAGAAGATTGCTCAACAAGCCTGCAAATATAAAATAAACAAAGATGATAAACTGAAATAATCAAAAACGAATATTAATTCCATTTATTTAATGATTATAATAATCGCTCGCCTGCGTCGATGAGCTTGAATTTTGACTGTTTGGCAACAGAGGATCGTGGACAAATCCCAGCCATGGATATCCGTAGTTGAAATGAAAATTTCTCTGTATTCTACTGGATTAGGGCTTGTACATAAAAGAGTAACGAATTCCTCGTCGGAGCTTGACGCCATGAGATAGAATTGGCCGGAACACATATACTGGCCAGGAAGAAGAGGAGGCTGGGTGAAGGTCCGTCCGGCCGGAGAGAAAATGCCTATAAAAAAAAGCGACGACAAAATCTCTAGAGTCAAAACGCAGCGTTTTTCCTTACGCCCTTTCCTAGAGTGCCCCAAGTTCAACGGTCGTGTTTTTCCCGGTTAATCTAAAGGGTAATTATTAGGTTTTATTTTAGTGAAAGGGGATAATTATTAAGTTAAAAGTATTACTACCTAATTTACATAATACATTTAAAAAAATAGCTTGTTTCAAAATACATGCCATATTTATGGTTTTAAGAAGTAATAAATATTTTTTCTATATTTACCTTTTGTATATTATAATTATTGCTTCAATTTAATGGTTTTTTTTAAAAAAAAATTAGTATTAAATTAAGGATAATATGGTCAATTTATTTAATAATTTATTGTAACTTAGACAAATTTGATGTCTTTTTAAGAAACATGAAATTATAAATGTGATAAGTATTATAAAATAGAAGTAGTATTTAGTGAGTTAATTTCCGTGGCAGTGGTAAATGTACAAATTTAAGCTCCCTTTGTTTCTAGAAAATAACTTAGACTCCTTGAAAAATATTTTTTAAATAAATTATTTTCTATTGTTTGGTTGTAATATTGAAAACTAGTTAAAAATATTAAAATCTTTAACTTTTAAGATTGTAAAAACATTTATAATAATAGAAATTTCATATTTTAAAAATTTTATTGTTAAATATGAGAAAAGAATATAAAAAATGGTAAATTATAATAGTCGCCATTGACCGGTGGTGGTGGCCGACAGTAGTCGGTGACCGGTGTTGATGAGTGATGGTAAATGGTTACTGGTGATAGTAGCTATTAATGATTAATAAATTAAAAAATACGAATTTATAAAATTATAATAAGTTTGTAAATCGAAAACATTTTACTCTTTTGAAAATGAGAAGTCATTTTCCTTAAAAATGACTTAGTTTTCTTTTGACAAGGAAAATATTCTCCGTTGATTTATTTTTTTGAACGTCCCAAATAACGAAAAATTATAAAATATATTTTTCTGCAAGTTATTTTATGAAAATAATCGAAGCTTTAATTGTATTTATATTTCAATTCATAACTTAAAAATTTTCCAATTTCGATTTGTATAACAGTAAAAGACTTTTGCCTGTATTTTGTGAATTCTGTTCATTGAAATTCTATATAAGTCACATAAACTAATTTTAGTATTCTTGTTTCATAATTTTTATCCTACTTTTCTTTTTCGTCAATCCCAAATTATTGTTCTGTTGTCTTTTTAGAAGTGAGCTAGTTCTTGTATGACGCGTGTTGCCCGTAGATTTTATTTGTTATATACTCATTTTGACCCGTTTAATTTTGTATTTATATAATATTAAATTACAAATTCTTATTTAGATTAAAATAAATATAATGATTAATTTATATTGCACTTTATTATTTTGTGACATACCTTACACTCTAACATCTAATTGAAAAGAAAATGATATTGCTACTTCTCCCTTTAAAATAATATTTTTTTTTTAACTTAAAAAATAGCATCTTCCATTTATATTTTTTTAAAGTATTGGTCCGCTATAACGTGAAAAAAAAATTATAATAATAATTATTATATAAATTTGGTGTATGTTGTTTTTTAAGTTATATATCTTGAGTTAATGAAATAAAAATGCTTAGGAGATTTAAATTTTAAATTTGTTTTTGAGTTTGATTTTATTTCAAATATGTACTTTAAATATAATAACTAACATATAATATTCTACTATTAATTTTGCATATTAGGTGTTGACATAAATACATTGTTTCAATAAATTTTATTATTAAAATTACATTACTATTTAGTTTGATTAAAAATAATAAAAATTAATATGTATTTTTACTCATTTAAAATTAATGAAAAAATTATATTTCTCTCTTTTAATTAATATACTATATAAAATAAAAAAAATAAAAGGACTACTATTTCAAGAGTGATAAAAATCAAACTCGTTAAAAAAATAGACTATTATTACTCATTAAATTAATATATGTTGAAAGTTAACTAAAAATTTTAAGATTTTTTCTTTGCTAAAAAATGTTCTAAAATGACATAAATAAATGTTAACACATGTAACTTAAAAGTTAATGTGCAAATAATAATATTGGTAATGGTAGACCCTCTATCAAGTTTATAATAGATATATATGAGATTAAATTTAAAAATTTTAAAGACCTATATGTTTATTTTAAAAAATAAAATTTCAAAGGTCTAATTATCTTTGTATCTATTTTAAAAATTATTTTTAAAAATAAAAAATTCTATAAATTCAGAAAAATTGAATAAAATATTGAATAAAAAGATAGCTCTCGTATTTTTCCATTATTTCATCCTTAATATACAAAAACTGAAAATGAAAATGATAGCAAATATGTCCAAATAGCTATTTTTTATATAATATTAGTTAAATATAATAATGTGTAAATAGTCCAAATAAGTATACACCATCATCTCCAAAAAAAAAATCAAAGATAAAGAATATATTTTAAAATTTTTATATTAATTTTATTATATTTAACTAATAGACTTTAATAGTAAAGTGTTTATCAATATTTTAAAAATTCAGAAGTAATTAATTTAAAATTTAAAATTTCATTTTCAATAGTTAAATTAAGGTTTTCGATTTACATTTTAGAAAGAAATATCACATGAGAATCTATAATTAAGAACATCAAAATCTATTAATTATAAAATTATTGGACAATAATAAGCAAAATCAAATAGAGAAAGTACATATACATATTTTTTTCAATTAAAATGCATGAAAAATCTAACTAAAAGTGTATTCAAAAGGATAAATGGAATCTATTTTCTCTAATTGAAAGACAATAAAAATACAACGAAAAGGGTAAATGGTTTCCTCCGATTAACATGCATAAAAATCTAGTTAAATGGATGTATTGGAAATTTCAAATTAATCCAAGGTATTATAGAAAATCTCATTTTTGTCCCCCTATTCCCACATTTATATATAGTATAGATAATTTTTGAATTTTAATTATTCTACCCTTATGTGTTTTTTGTCAGTAAATATAACAGTAAAACTACTAAATTATTATTAATTAAATCTCGATATAAATAAAATTAAAATATCAACCTTTAATCTTCTAATATTTCATATATAATTTGAATAATTCCAAGAACAATTTAACATCAATCATTTAATTTTAATGGACATTAAAATAAGGGTGTATTAAGAAAAAAACAAAAATTATAATTTAACTACATTATTAAATATTTTTAATCAGTATGTAAGTCAAACTAGAAAAAAAAATATGGGATGGAGGAGTATTTTTTAATTAATTAAATCACATTTAAATCAATTAAAAAAAAAATATGTAAGTCCTAAAATTGCACATTTAAATCAACCATCGTGATTAAGGATGGATGCAGGGTAGATACTTGCGAATTTTGAGCTACTCATACCTATATCCGCTTTGAATTTTATTATCCATACTATCCCAAAATTCGTTTAAATATCTATAGTACTTATGTTCGAACTTGTTTAAAAATTTATTATTTATATCCGTCCTAAAATCGTTTAAAGTATTCTTTAAATGGATATGATATCCGTAAATTTTAAACTATTCAAATCCGAACTTATTTAAAATGCATCTTTTATTAATAAATGGATTGGGTACTCTAATCAAACTCATTTAATATAGCGGGTAATAGTAGCGAGTACCAATAGATCTATACTCGCATCATATGCTTATTCATTGCGAATAGTAATTTCACTATCCGTACCCACCTCAAATCCTTTTATAACTACTCGTACCCTCATTAAAGATATTAGAGCGGGCGAGTACCTTAAAATACATGTCCCGCTTCCGCCGCTAACTGCAATCTCTACCACAGATCATCTTGAATGACCTTTTAAAAGGAATCTAACACACATTATCTCCTTCTTATCCACCAAATCTTCGTTTAGGCCTCCTTACTTTGCTACAAATGAAGAAATTTATGGTGCCAACTCTCTTCCTTTCATATTTATCTTTCTCGACCACGACGTGTTGGATCAGTTACTCTCTCACGTACACAAATACAAATCCGCTTGCCCTCCATTTCTCCTTATGTGTTTATTATGCAATTATGCATGATATGCAAGAACTTAATTTTTCTCAATCAAGTCAGTTTAAGTGATGAAATGGTGTCTAATTCGATTGATGATGTTTGGATTTTTTAGGCCTTGAGTATTTTTATAGGTTGAAGAATCCGAAACTTCATTCTTTGAAGATTACGGCTTTGTTTCAATCTTTTATAGCTATGTCTTTAAAACCAAAAGATTAACCTAAGGTTATTGTATGGTAAGGAATTCAAGCAATCCCCTTTCTTGTAGAATTTCTTATAAATATACTTCATTTAAGCTCCATTTTCAACGTATTCAAGCTTCAATTTCTTTATCATTATTTGGATTTTTGTGAAAGTGAAAATGCATTATAGGCTTTATGGACTTGTGGTAGAGGCTTGATGAGTACAATTATTGGCATCTAGTAGTAGGGAGAAAGGAGAGGAAGATATGATTTTTTTTTCAAGAGATTTAGATTTAAGTAAACTGGTAATTTAGTAGAAAGAGAAAGAGAAATAGAAAAGGAAGATGAAAAGAGTTTGAGATGAGACTGAGAGGAATGGAGAATGGTTCTTGCAGTGGCATCCATTGTACTTGGCGTTACTTGCATTCTTTTTTGTGTTGGTGTGTTTTTTATTAGGCTTTTGGATTTTTCTTGAAGTAAGGTCTTGGGTTTTGCAAAAAGGGGAAGTTAAGGCATTCCCTCAAAAAGTCCTAGTCAACCTTAACTCCTCTAAGGGTCAGCACAAATACTATATCATAAGAAACTAGATTAATTTTCTCTACCTTTTCTAGATTTTTGTTCCATAGATACATATCATGTGCAAAGCCAATTCATTTTCATATGCCAAATGGAAAGCAAAAAATAACAAGAAGCAAAATTAAAAAATTGAAAAACCTAGCACTTCTATTAGTGTTTGTTTTGGCCGCATGCAAAACGAGGTTTGAGTCAAAAATTTGCTAAAAAGGGTTACATAAAAAAATTTAAGTTGGCCGCT